AAAAAGATCTGTTCCAGGCTGGGCATGGTGGCTGTAATCCCAGCACATTTGGAGGCCGAGGTGGGCAGATTGCCTGAGGTCAGGAGTTCGAGACCAGCCTGGCCAACGTGGTAAAACCCTGTCCCTACTAAAAATACAAAACATTGGCTAGGTGTGGTAGTGGGCACCTGTAGTCCCAACTACTCAGGAGGGAGGCAGGAGAATTACTTGAACCCAGGAGGCAGAGGTCATAGTGAGCTGAGATTGCCTCACTGCACTCCAGCCTGGGAGACTGACTGAAACTCTTGTCTCAAAAACAAAAACACCCAGCTCTGATTGCAGGCTGCTCGTCAAGAGCAGGGAATTGTACTTATTCTCCTTCAGCCCATCCCCCTTACCCAGGTCCAAGCAGCCTCCTTTGTCCCCAACCCCAGGGCTCTTAGTCCCGGCAATCCAGAGGTTGGAGGTGAGGTTGGTGACCCAGCCCTGTCCCCAGACCTCCCACAGCTTCAGGTTCAGAAAAAGGCACGTAAAGTTTGGTATAAACAGGAACACAACTTCATGGAGTTTCTCCTCACTGATTTAAATATTCTAGTCTATTTAGAGAATGAGTCACAAGACTCAGGAATTACCAACAGCCTATTTTCACCCAGTGGCTTCCTGGTTTACCCGCTTTAGGAGATCATTAATGGAAATTGAGAATCTGTCTCACATAAATTGCCTTTTTAAAAAGCCACACAGTTTTAGGAACTTCTCTTCCCAAGGAAATCGTATCTGAGCTCCAGCCCAACTGGGCCACTCTGTGGGAGGGGGAACAGCCTGGTGGCCTTCAGGAGGTGAGGGGGAGACAGAATAGCTCAGCCAGCCCAGACCTCCACTTGTTCTCCCTCCCCCCATTCCTGCCAATTAACGGCAGTCACTGGAGACAAGAACCAACTGGATCAGATACGACCCACGAACCAAGCTTCGGAATCCCTCATCTACAGCAATATTTTCTAAACTTGCCTAATCGTAGGACTGAGCTGGAATATATATATATATATGTATGTATGTATGTGTGTGTGTATATATATATATATATATATATACATACACACATACATACATACATATATATATATTTTAAAGAACAACTCCCCGCACACACAAATCAGAGACGGAGGTCTCCTCATGTTGCTCAGGCTTGTCTGCAACTTCTGGCCTCAAGCCATCCTCCCACCTGGGCCTCCCAAAGTGCTGGGATTACAGGCTCGAGTCACCATGCCCGCCTGGAACTCTTAACCGCACTCCGGCTGCTTTTGGCAGGCCTCACTTCTGACCCACTGGGTCTAGGTTTTCGGGAGACAGCCTCTGGACCCTGTGTTCTAGGCAAATGCCCCCAAGTAACAGCTCCCACTTACCATGAGCTTAATCTGTGTCAGGCCTCAATTAACTCATGTTATCCTCACAAGAGCCTGAAAGTTAAGAAACTTGCCCAAGCACGCAGTTATCAAAGGATGAAGCTGAAAGTCCGCTCTGGGCATCATGGCTGCAGAGACCACAAACTAGGAGGCAGTGGCTTCTCAGGCAGAAACAGGAAGATTCTAAACCGAGAACAAGGACTAGAGGACCTGGGTGGGGCTGGGTACTTTCCCAGATGGCGCCAATGGCAGTTCAAAGGTGAGTGTTTTCTGTAACCTGGGCCAGTGCCCAGCCTCTGTTTCCCCAGGACCTGGGAGGGCAGCACCCAAGGTAACCCGAGCACCCCGTTACCTTGGAGCCCTCAGGCTGTCTCTGGGCCACCCACTCAGGGTGGCCTCCCTACCTGCTCAAGGCTACAGAGGGCTGTCCCGTCCAAACAGCCACACCCCAGGGCCAACCCAGTGCTCTGTGTGCCAAGGGAGTTTCTGGGAGAGCCACCTGATACCCCACGTGACAACCAGCCTTTCCCCCATCACCCAGGGGTCACCCAGGCAAGGAGCAGAGGACACAGGGGCCATCAGCCTATCACCCCCACCCAAGGGACTGCTCTAAGATCCCCAGAATCTCAAGTCTGGTGGGTACAGCTAAGCATCCTCCCAAAAAGGGAAAGAACCTTAGTTACCAAATTCTATGCCTTCTGGAAATCACTCTAATGACTTCCGGAATGATCGGCTGAGGCCAACATCTGCATGGGGCAGTAGGAAAGCCTCCTCTGTCAGAGTTAAGGGGCCTGAATATGGACAGGTCACATTCTTGGGGGTCAAGGTGACAGGCCAGAGCCCAGGTCCCCAGGACAGTGCAGGTGAGTAGAGCAAGCACCAATCTAGCTCTGAGATGGGGTCTGAATGGACCCTGGGAGGTTGCCCACCTGACATCTCATGCGGAACCCTGAATCAGAGAGAGGCCCGAGAGTTGCAGGGCAGTGGGGGACAGTGTCGGTGAGTTAATCTACCTTTACTTCAAAACCCAGAAAACTCCCATTATTGGAAAGTGAAATCTCCCAAAGCAAAGCCACCGCCCATCTTCCTTCCCCACTCTGATTCAGGTTTTCCCTGCCCCCCAGCGGAAGCAAGGCCCTTGAAAACAGGACAGGGTTAAAGAGAGCCTCAAGGGATACAAAGATCTGCCCGATTTGAGGTTTAGGGGGCCAGTACCACGTACTCACATCCAGAAGTGCAGCTAGCTGCAACACACGCCAGAGATGGGGAACTCTCACCCAGCCCTGGGGATCACTTCCCGGCAGGGCAGGCCGAGGCAGGCCTGGCCCAGGGGTGGGGCTTGGGAGTTAAAGGGCCCTTGCAGCTGGTTCTCATTTTGTCCTCTGGGCTGTCTCTGCTGCAGCTGAAAGCACACCACTCCCTGCCCGCTAATCAGCTTCTGCCTTGGAGCCAGCTGGTGGCACTGGGGTGTGGCTGAGAGAGGCTGGAAAGCCCGAGACAGGGCAGGTGCTGACTGAGGGGACCTCTGCCCATCTGGCTTCCATTTTCCAATCTGGGTGAATACAGTTCTGCCTCTCCCTTCAGGTGGGGCCAAACTGTTGAGGCTCCAGCTATAGTCACTCCTCTTAAGAGATGATAGCTCTGCATCTTTTATTTCAGACTCAGAAAATTCAGTCCCAGTCTCCAAATAGGTGTTCAATAGAAAACACGCACATGCGCTCATGCGTGCGCACGCGCACACACACTCTCTTCCTTTCACACACACACACACACACATACATACACACACACACTCTCTCTCTCTCTCTCTTTCTCTTTCCCTCTCCTGCAACGTGCTGTTTGGGAGCTTGGGGTTTCTCTCTTCTTCCCAAGTTTCTCAGTGTCTCGGCTGGGGAAGGAGGGCCCAGGCCCCAGCAGGTACAGACGCTGCACCTTAGAGGCAGGAGCCGCAGGAGTCAGTATTTCCGCTGCTGAGGGAAGAGACTGCTCCCTGAGGATCGGAGTGGGAGGCTGGTGGGGCTGGGATCCGCGGAGTCCAGGCTGAAGAGGTCCCTCCCAGTACGAAGGATCTGCTCCTCCAGCTTCTTGTGTCGCTTCATGTCCGAGAGCACCTTGTCCAGGCGGGCCTCCCGTTTCTGGCTCCGGGCTGAGCTTCCTGGAGAAGGGGAAGGTAAGATACATGGAAGGGATGGAGGCGGTGTGCACCAGACCTGCCTTAACTTCACTCATCACTTGGGGAGCTAGTTAAACATGCAGGTCCCCAGGCCTCTGCCTAGGAAGACCTGAGGTTCAGGGTTGGCCCTCAGGAAGGGTGAGTGGTGAAGGTCTTGAATGACAGGATGGCATGAGCAATGTGAAGAGCAGGGAGGACCATATGGGGGAGGGGGACGGCAAGGGTAAAGGCCCAGGACAAGAACAGAGTTCTGTTCAGAGACGAGTGCAGAGAGCTGGCACTCTTGCTCTTCCCTGGCAAGATGGAATCCCTTGGAAAATTTTAAGTAGAAAAGTGACATGACTTATGGTCAGGCGCAGGGGCTCAAGCCTGTAATTTCAGCACTTTGGGAGACTGAGGCGGGCAGATCACTTGAGGTCAGGAGTTCAAGACCAGCCTGGCCAACATGGCAAGACCCCATCTCTACTAAAAATTACAAAAATTAGCTAGGCGTGGTGGCATGTGCCTGTAATCCCAGCTGCTCGGCAGGCTGATGCAGGAGAATCAATTGAACCCAGGAGGCGGAAGTTGCAGTGGGCCGAGATCGTGCCACTGCACTCCAGTCTGGGCAAGAGACTTTGTCTCAAAAAAAAAAAAGTGACACAATTTATATTTTAAAAGGATCATCTGAGTTGCAGAAACTGGAAGCAGACAGCCCAGTTAGGAGCCACTGCACTATATAGGCAAAGATGGTGGCTTGGATGGGGATGTGGTGTTGAAAGTGGAGAGCAGCAGAGGTACTTGGAATGTACATCTTGTAGTGAGCAAGACTTGCTGTTGGTGTGAAAGCGCAGGTAAGAGAGAGAAATCAAGAATGGCTCTAGGCTGGGTGTGGTGACTCACGCCTGTAATCTCAGCATTTTGGGCGACCAAGGCAGATGGATCACTTGAGCCCAAGAATTTGAGACCAACCAGTCTGGCCAACATAGCAAGACCTTGTCTCTCCAAAAAAAAAAAAGAAAAAAAGAAAAAGAAAAAAGACATGACTCTGAGGGTAAATTCTAGAAAGGCATGTGGGGTGGGAAATGGAGTCACTGGTGTGATTAAAAACGTACATGGTATGGATGCGAGCTACATAATATTGAAAGGCCAGGACCTGGACTTCTGGGAATGGGAAACATAATAGAATTATTTGTAATTTTCCAGAATCAATGACCAGTTTTT